TTGTAAAGAAAACATTTGCCTTCACACTTATTGCCACACACACTCTTTCTACGACACAGAGCAAATGAGAAAAGGCACGTCTGTTGTGGGTAGACTCTGGAATTCAATTAAGGTGAATGAATGTGTTTCAAATGGTTATGAACCATCGCAGACAACATCGCCTTTACAACTAACAATGTAAATTAACTACAGTGCATAGAATGATTGGATAATTTAACAAGGAGGGCTACAAAATGTAGTTGAAGAGAAATAACAATAAACAAGTCACGTACACTCTTGTGCAAGTTTAATTTAAGATATCTGTTGGGAGGGACAATTGGAAAACACAGCAGCGTGTATACTTTGTGCAGTTAATAAAGGCAGATAGTGTTCAAAATTATGAGTAGAAAGAGGGAAACTTTAGTGGGATGGAGAGTGTTTGCAAACCTTAATTTGATCGTTAAAAGCAACTTACCAATGTGCATGAAGAATAACGTTGGCCTTCAGTGCATATCATATGGATAAAACACATCGACATTCGCGAAATAAAATGTAGCCAAAGCTGAATAGTGCTCAACACTGTAGACGTGGATAATGGAAAGAGGATTCCCGTGGGTTGGGGAACAAACGCCAGTTAGCGACGTCGTATCAACCATTAAGGCCGGCGAACGGCTGGACAGAGGAAATGCTGAGAAGGATGACAGCCGGTGGCCAGTACCGGATTAAGCTAGTGCTGGGTCTGTAGCATATGTTATAGAGGGGCCCTAAATAAAAAAATTAAACACAAATATTAAAACACAAATAGTTTACTTGCATAGTAAATTGTATTTTTCATTTGCTATACAGCCAGATAATACGACAAATCGCTAACTTTAAACACCAAGTCGTTCATAAAACTTGAAGGCGGTATAATACTATAGTAATAGAGCAAGTGCAGAATCACTGAAACGGAATTGACAGCTTGAAAGCATTTAGCGCAGGGCCCTTGAAAGCGCGGGGCCCATAGCATATGTAGCTACTTTTGCTACTAAGATAACACTGGTCAACAAAAACAAAAAGTTTTTTTCTGCCTGGACTTTTGCAGCTGTTTTAGACTAATTTCAGGGTGCTGATTCCAAATCTGATCTCAGATTTGTTCTATCACGTCTCATTTTTATGCTATCGGCATACCCCATTTTCATTGATTTTACCCGAAATTAACTCTGTCACTTATGATTGCAAGTTGTTGCGAGTCAGTGACTGCTTTAGTGTTAAAATATGGTGCTGTATTTTTAGGATAGTGTGTTTATAATATCATTCTATGTACATATCCACATTTATTTAATATTTTTCTTCTTCAGTTTTTATTGAAAATGCAATATTTGATATCTCAAAAACCTGATGTGATAGACAAATCCTGATGCCAGATTTGGAATCAGCACCCCAAAATTACCTTAAAACCGTTGGAATACCTTGTGCCAGAAAAAGTGTGTTGACCAGTGTAATCTGGCATTGCCGGTGGCGTAAGACGAGCGATGCGGCCGGCCACCACAGAGACAGAGTGATGAGATCAGCCCACGTGTTGAGATGGAACCTGGCCTCACCCACTTGGGATGGCGATGGCTTTCATCCACCAGTAGGTAGACCATGGCTGCTGATGGTATGCGATACAAAAATGAAATTCAACAAATCTAAATATTTTTCTGATTGGTTATACATAACGATAATTATCTCCGACAATTCTACAGCGATGTTAACCATTTGCAATACAATTAATATAACATGAACCCACTGTGTTCATTTAAATTAACACTATATTCACTTCTGAAAAAAACTTAACGTAAAGAACAAATTCGATTTCTATAGCTTTCAATTAGCTGAGTATTACAGTGTTATGGGGACCTCATTTGCCAGTAAAAATATATGATAATTGGTTCTTTACCCTTCTATCTGGCAACAAAAACAAAAAGGTGTCAGTTTTGTTGCCAGATAGAAGGGTAAATAACCAATTATCATATTACAGTGTTAATTATTGTAATGGGCTTCCTTCACCGCTTCACCTCTGCAAATGCGGAGGGCGTGGGGGGGGTCTCCAGATGTGGGACAAAATGCTTTTTCCCGTCAATTCTGAATGCAGGGAACGCAGGTGTGTACGCACAAGGCGTGATTGCCGAATTTTAACCACCCCTGAGTCTTTTGTGGAACCTCGGTCGATACGAAAAGCTCTGCAAGAAAAAACAACCAATTAACCGCTGCTCCCAAATGCCCTCCTCTCTGCCTTCTCCCATCTGCTCCCGCTCTGACACCGCTCTGACACAGAGGCCCATTGGGATCATGCGCCCCCAGATTCCTCTCCCTTGTGGCCCGTTGTTTCTGGTGCTCCGTGCAAATGCTGCCCTCTTCTGATGGAACTCTATATGGACTCGCTGCTCTGGTCTCCGAAGTGCCGTCAGTAACTATTTTTTACTCTTTAGTTTATTTTCTTTACCAGGTAAGGCCGGCTGAGCTCTATCGCACATTTTCCAGAATCGACTTTGACATAAATGACAGCTCAACGAAATGGCCCATCACGTGGAAATTTATCGCAACCAAATTCTAGAAATGCATATTTCTAAATGTGGAAAGAAAACCCGGAGGTGGTGAAAAATCCACAAAACCGCGGGTAGAACATGCAAACTCCAAATATCCAGGCGACCTCCTGTGTACCAGGTGAGCTAGTTAACATCTCGCCATCGTGGCGCCTAGTTAACCATAGTAATTAACCGTGTGGTCTACGTATGTACGTGCCTTAAACTGCACTTATTAAAGTTCGCATTTTTCAGTTCTTATACGTAGTATTCCGTGCTTATACGCAAATGACGGTGTCTTCAGAGATATGAACAAACATTTTGTAGCACTCACAGATCACCGCAAAGGTCGTTAATCAATGTGGCACACAGTCCGGAAGCCAGCTCACAACACCACTGGTGTAACTCGATAATCTTTTGCGTGGAATCTATGTTCGACTCGCGATTTAAATCTGCAACAGTTGCGGAAATTGGTGAGACATTAAAGATCAATGTTGGGGGTGGTGGTGGTGGGGATGGAATGTGCCATCGGAGGGCACCGTGTTTTTATTCTGGAATCGGAGTCCTCTGGCAGGGTCACCAGGGAGGGGTGAACTCAAAGGCAGCCCCTCTCGCGATCCTGCGATGCAACAATCCACGCAGAGCCTGCGCGCACCCCTTGAGCTGGCTCCGTCTCTGCACCCGCTTGGCGGACGTGTTCCCAGATGCGCTCCGTTTCTCGGCGGCCACTGCGAATGTTTTTTTTTTCTTCCCTTGACCCATCGGACATCGACCCTTCGAGTTAAATTTTCCACCCAAGTCCACTCAACTTGTCTTAATTGATTGAAATACAGTGGTACCTCGGTATACGTCGTTAATTCGTTCCAGAAGGTAGGACTTTTGCCGAAAATGACGTAGACACCAAACGAATTTTTCCCATAAGAAATAAAGGGAAAGGAAACAATCCGTTCCAGAGTATAAGAAATTATATTTTATACGCCATATTATACATTAATGGGGTTGTATAAAATAATTTAGACACTACTTATTACTAAAATGCATACATAAATTAAAATAAATGCATGAATGAATTTAAATAAAAATTATTTTTTACATCACTTTACCTTGCTGAGAGGAGTTGATAGCCTACGAGGATGGCGGTGAGGAAGGGGAGGAGGCGTGAACGGGGTCTACGCGGCGGGTACGCGGTGACTCATCCTGACCCGTACAAGTTCTAGCAAGCGCGTCGTATCCCAAGCAAGACGTCGTATCCCAAGACATTTTTTCCTCGTCAAAACACGACGTATTCCAAAGCGGTCGTATATCGAGGTATGACTGTACGTAATTAACCTGGGCATGTGCTCTGGTCCATGTGTTTTACTCTCCCGTCTCTCCATGCAATCCCAAGCGTGCATCTCTCCACGCTTCTTGGTGCACTTTTGAGCATTTGTTCTACATTTCCCGCGTAAGGAACCGCGTTTCTAATGCATTTGTTATGGCGGGTAGTGCACACTGATGACGACGTTTCCCCCTCTTCCCCCCCCCCGTTAGCCACATCGGTAACGTTACTTTAATATTCAACATCAGCTCTTCAAAATCACGGCAACCTGTGCCATTGCGCGGAACTTTGCATAGGGCCCGGCCAGGGTCTGGGGCCAGAATTCACAGAGGGCATCTTGGCGAGAGCTTGCGGAGTTGTACGTGTGTATTTCGAACTCCTTTCGAACCGTACGGAGCCAACTTTGCGAAGGGAGGGCAGCACGTCGTGAAGATGTGCTGCGGAACAATATGAGGTTGGACTCGCCCAGTTGGAGGCTGAGATGAGTGATTCAAGACGAGTTTCCTAACATCTTACACATTTGTACGTGAAATGTTATTGTTCATCAGACATAGTTTAAGTTTCAGCATTGGTGTAGACATTTTCCTGGGTCTGGTGAAGCTGAAATCCTACTGAATCCTGATCCTCATCAGCTACCATTCTCATTCTACTGCTAGATGATCTACTTACTGACAGCTGTTTTTCACGTGGAATTGTACATGTATGCGTACATCCTGTAGGTCAACGAACTGCTGGATGAGGGCCTCCCCACGCTATGCAGGTCATGAAGGCTATTCGAAGTGAACTCTGGTCATCCTCGCAGCTACTTTTGGCTGGCCATCGAACAAAGTCGTTCACCGCATCGCGCGCTTTCAGATGCGCTTCTGTGGCCGTCTGGAGCGCTCTTCCTTCCGACATTAAGAAGCCACTTTCAAACCTAGATTGAAAACTAATTTCTTTAGAACTGCTTTTTGTGTTTAGTGTGTTCCCCCCCCCGCACCTCCAATGAGCACGGTTAGCTAGGTACGGTGCGAAGGAAGTTCAACATACATATATGCGAAAGCGTTAAGCGAGAACTTCGCCGTAAACAAAATTAAAATCGACTTGACGGGCGTGCGTGCGGGCGCGTGTGTGACGCGTGTTTGACGCGAGCGCCATGTGCTGCTGCGACGCTGCAGGCCCCCTGCGAGCGAACCTGCTCGACTACCTGCTCTTTGGCAGCCTCATCGCGGCCGTGGACCCCGTGGCGGTGATCGCCGTGTTCGAGGAGGTGCACGTCAACGAGGTGCTCTTCATCATCGTCTTCGGGGAGTCGCTGCTCAACGACGCCGTCACCGTGGTGGGTGCCGTGAAATTTGCGCCGGGTTCCGAGCGGTGGAGCACACACACACAGAGAGATCTTCTTCTTCTTCTTAAAACCATGGAACATACTCTGAGTAATTCCTGCAGTCACGAGAGCTTCAAATCAAGTTTGAACCACCTCTACTGGGAGAATTTCTACACAACTCATATTTAACAATCTTTGATAGAACGTAATCAACCAGGTAAAGTGTTAACTGTTGTGTTAACTGTTGTGTCAGCCGAATCTCTGTGTTGCATTGCATTACATTTCTAAGTTTACTCGGTTTCTTTTCTAAAACTTCCAATTTCTCTCCCCCTGCCGCTCTCATTGACATGCTAATTTCTCTGCCCCCCCCCCTCTCTCTCTACAAAATACCTCGTCACAGAGGCGTTGTTTCTCTGTGTGTCTCTGTGTGTGTCTCTCTCCTCTCTGTGCGTCTCTCTCTCTGTGTGTTTGTCTCTCTCTGTGTGTCTCTCTCTCTCTGTATGTGTCTCTCTCCATGTCTGTGTTTGTCTCTCTCTCTGTATATGTGTCTCTCTCCGAGCTTGCATTCACACCTGATGACGGTTGCTTGTGTTACAATCGAAACGTCGTATTCTATTATTTATTTCCTTTTTCTACGTGACTTTACCGAAAGAACCAAGAGTAATACTCTGACCTCTTTAACATCAGGCCGCCATGAAATGGCAGGCCAACAACCCCTTGCGAGGGGCTTCATAGAGCTCTGGACATCTGTGAAAAAGAGCTTTATAGCTCATCGGATTCCTCCAGTATAAATATTTAAATTCTGATATTTAAGGCCCTTAGACCAGCAATGGAGCGAGCAAGTAATTACCAGCTTGCATCTTTCCCTACCTGGCCATTGTGGTTTTCACACTATGCACCCAGTCGCCAGAGTTTGATTCCTACCCATGGCTAGCAACAGTGGCAAGTGAGGTCCACGTTTGCTGTGCCGCCTGCCTGCCGCTCCTGGCGAGCCAGGGTTGGTGAGCCACATGAGAGTCACGAGAATGACGTTATTGTCTGAGATGATGCCTACGGAGGAGCGAAGCCACGGTGACGCGATGTTAACTACCTCGTCTGGTATATAGGAGCTGGTGGGTTCGATCCCGACCCTGACGCCTGTATATTTGGTGGTCGCGAGGAATTTTCTCCGGGTCCTCTGGGTTTTCCTCTCCACGTTTAGAATGAACATGCATTTCTAGTATTTGGCTGGTATACATTTCCACGTCATAAGCCACGTCGTTGGGCTTTCATTGCTGTGGCCAGGGCACTTCTGAAAAAGGTAAAAAATGATTTAGTTTAGTTTTAAGAATGTCCTGGTTCAAGCGGGCACTATCGGATGATGCGTTCACTTGGTTTGATAGCCACAGTGGCAATGCGGGAGGCGAGTGGGTGGGGGTGATTATCATCTTCCACAGGTGTCATCGGTGCCTCACTTGCCGTGCGATGTGTGGCTGCTTTTGTCGCGGCCCGGATAGCGGTTCGAGTCTCTGAGACCGGAATGCGTCACAGTCGCTCAGTCCTGTTCACTGGAGCTGATGTTAGTTTGGCTCGCATTAACGCAAGGCATTTAAAAATGAGTTGTCAAAGTGCCTTGAGCAAAGCAGGAATTCATATTATTGGGTCTTTCGGTAAAGTCACGTAGATAGGTTCAAAGAAAATAACAAAAAACTACGACGTTTCGATGGCAACACAAGCGGTCGTCTTCAGGAAAAGGGGGGTTAGCTTCCAAGGCAAACTGTTTATCAGGGGTTTGAAATGGGCGTAGCCCAAACGTCAGCAGCCAATGATAATGTTTGTCTCTCTCTGTGTATGTGTCTTTCTCCATGTCTGTATTTGTCTCTCTCTGTATATGTGTCTCTCTCCGAGCTTGCATTCACACCCGATGACGGTTGCTTGTGTTGCAATCGAAACGACGTATTCTATTATTTATTTCCTTTTCTTTCTACGTGAATTTATCGAAAGAACCACGAGTAATACTCGGACCTCTTTAACATCAGGCCGCCATGAAATGGCATGCCAACAACCCCTTGCGAGGGGCTTCATAGAGCTCTGGACATCTGTGAAAAAGAGCTTCATAGCTCATCGGATTCCTCCAGTATAAATATTAAAATTCTGATTCTGATATTTGAGGCCCTTAGACCAGCAATGGAGCGAGCAAGTAATTACCAGCTTGCATCTTTCCCTACCTGGCCATTGTGGTTTGCACACTATGCACCCAGTCGCCGGAGTTTGATTCCTACCCATGGCTAGCAACAGTGGCAAGTGAGGTCCACGTTTGCTGTGCCGCCTGCCTGTCGCTCCTGGCGAGCCAGGGTTGGTGAGCCACATGAGAGTCACGAGAATGACGTTATTGTCTGAGATGATGCCTACGGACGAGCGAAGCCACGGTGGCGCGATGTTAACTACCTCGTCTGGTATATAGGAGCTGGTGAGTTCGATCCCGACCCTGACGCCTGTATATTTGGTGGTCGCGAGGATTTTTCTCCGGGTCCTCTGGGGTTTCCTCTCCACGTTGAGAATGAACATGCATTTCTAGTATTTGGCTGGTATACATTTCCACGTCATAAGCCACGTCGTTGGGCTTTCATTGCTGTGGCCAGGCCACTTCTGAAAAAGAGCTATATAGCTCAGTGGGGCCTTACCAGGTAAAAATGGTTTAGTTTCAAGAAGGTGCTGGTTCAAGCGGGCACTGTCGGATGATGCGCTCACTTGGTTTGATAGCCACAGTGGCAATGCGGGAGGCGAGTGGGTGGGGGTGATTATCATCTTCCACAGGTGTCATCGGTGACTCACTTGCCGTGCGATGTTTGGCTGCTTTTGTCGCAGCCCGGATAGCGGTTCGAGTCTCTGAGACCGTGGTGCATCACAGTCGCTCAGTCATGTTCACTGGAGCTGATGTTAGTTTGGCTCGTATTAACGCAAGGCATTTAAAAATTAGTTGTCAAAGTGCCTTGAGCAAAGCAGGAATTCATATTATTGGGTCTTTCGGTAAAGTCACGTAGATAGGTTCAAAGAAAATAACAAAAAACTACGACGTTTCGATGGCAACACAAGCGGTCGTCTTCAGGAAAAGGGGGGTTAGCTTCCTAGGCAAATTGTTTATCAGGGGTTTGAAACGGGCGTATCCCAAACGTCAGCAGCCAATGATAATGTTTGTATCTCTCTATCTCTCTCTGTGTATGCATCTTTCTCCATGTCTGTTTGTCTCTCTCTCTCTGTATATGTGTCTCTCTCCGAGCTTGCATTCACACCCGATGACGGTTGCTTGTGTTGCAATCGAAACGACGTATTCTATTATTTATTTCCTTTTCTTTCTACGTGAATTTATCGAAAGAACCACGAGTAATATGTTGCACACTCGAGATGAAGGACGTGGGCAGGTGCTCCAAATCGAGGGCAAGCACATTTATTTATTGTGGTTCATATGAATCTTGGGAAGAACAGCACCGTCACTCTGTAAAATGCAACAGCGCGTGTTACACGCAGCAAATCTTCCGAGACGCCATTAACCATGTGGCTGGTTTACACGTGCGGTTATTCATTAACCCTTTCTCTTAAACCCAATTCTACTGCTGATAAACCATCTTTGTCTTTGACAATCACATTTGCACATCACTCTTCGAATATTACTTTAATCCTAAGCTGTATGTCTATCTATACCATCCACTTCTATCGGTATCTTACACCCATTATATGTACTGTATGTGTACAGTATACGTACTGTATATCACCATTGTACAGCTTACTACTTTACATGTGTTCTATGCTCAATAGCATTGCAAGTAGTCATACTCTGGGTACATGGGCATGGTTATAGACTAAACAGTATTAGAGTTAGAGAATTACAATGACAGTAACTAATTACAGTGCGTCATCCCTTTACAATGCACAGTGCTAAAACGCCTCTAATTGCATATATCAAAAAGGAACAATTCAAAGCCAAGCTTAAAGTCTAAAACAAGTCTAGAACAAGTCTAGAACATTTATATAACGATCAAAAACAACCTTTGGGTCCTTTACCTGTAAAATGCAACAGCGCGTGTTAGACGCAGCCATCCTTCCGAGACGCCATTAACCACGTGGCTGGTTTACACGTGCGGTTATTCATTAACCCTGCCAGCCACCTACAGGCCCGACTTAGACATTACATGCTGCTGTACACACATGCATTAATGCACTGCACAGCACATCAGGACTTTCACAGAACCACACTCTACTCCTTTGCTGCACAAGGACATACTTAAAAGAGTGATCCATTCCTAATGTGCCACAAATACTTTGGACCTCTTTAACATCAGGCCGCCATGAAATGGCAGGCCAACAACCCCTTGCGAGGGGCTTCATAGAGCTCTGGACATCTGTGAAAAAGAGCTTCATAGCTCATCGGATTCCTCCAGTATAAATATTTAAATTCTGATTCTGATATTTGAGGCCCTTAGACCAGCAATGGAGCGAGCAAGTAATTACCAGCTTGCATCTTTCCCTACCTGGCCATTGTGGTTTGCACACTATGCACCCAGTCGCCGGAGTTTGATTCCTACCCATGGCTAGCAACAGTGGCAAGTGAGGTCCACATTTGCTGTGCCGCCTGCCTGCCGCTCCTGGCGAGCCAGGGTTGGTGAGCCACATGAGAGTCACGAGAATGACGTTATTGTCTGAGATGATGCCTACGGACGAGCGAAGCCACGGTGGCGCGATGTAAACTACCTCGTGTGGTATATAGGAGCTGGTGAGTTCGATCCCGATCCCGACCCTGACGCCTGTATATTTGGTGGTCGCGAGGATTTTTGTCCGGGTCCTCTGGGATTTCCTCTCCACATCATGCATTTCTAGTATTTGGCTGGTATACATTTCCACGTCATAAGCCACGTCGTTGGGCTTTCATTGCTGTGGCCAGGCCACTTCTGAAAAAGAACTATATAGCTCAGTGGGGCCTTACCAGGTAAAAATGATTTAGTTTAGTTTTAAGAAGGTCCTGGTTCAAGCGGACA